GGAGTTACTATGGCGTGATCGGCGCAGGAACGGAGCAACTGTGGCGTGATCGGCACAGGGACGGACCAATGACGGGATCGGCATAGGAACGGACCAACCATGGCGTAATCCGTTTGCTATGAAATTGGAATTGCGAATACTTGAATACCTGAATTTTACGTCTGCCAGGCCCTTCAGTCACTACACAATCTTTTTTTTTTTTTTTTTTTTTTTTGTATTTATGAGACTAATCATTTAACTAATCTGCCTGCAGTTGCATCGAATAAGTTATTTCAGAATTATACAACCACACTCTCAAACACTCAATAACTGATGTCTGTAAAAACTTTTATATTTTTTCAAATAGCAAGGAATTGTGTAAGGTTGGTTGTCTTGCATACTGAACAAGACGACCGATTTCCCTGTTTGGGTGTAGGTTTGAACAACGGATTAACATCATAGCACAAGGGTAGTAACCAATTCGTGCTCCGTTCTACTTCTGACTCGAGTCCGAGTCTGGATAATCTCATCGCAGTGTACGAACACCGTAAAACTTACGGTTAAAATGGACGCTAGACAGCGGCGCCGTTCGGAACAGAGGCAAATTTTTTGCTTCTGCCGGACGGTGGCCGATGCATTTTTGCTCCATTTGTAGACTGGATATAGTTTCGTCGCCCAGCTTCTGAGTTGAATGCATGGCGTGACCCTGAGCTGCGGATTGCATTTGGAATGTTTTTTTTTTTTTCCGACTGTGACCAACGTGGTGGTGTGAATTGTAGATTCAGAAAATGGCGCGATGCCAGTCGTTCAATGCTGGCGGGATCACGCGGACAACTGCTGATCTGTTGACGACAAGTTCTGCTATCATCAATGATGAACTGCATTTCTAATGTTGGACTGTCTGTGTTAGCACTTCGGATGGCTACCTTATGCTTTAATGCGAGTGTATGCTAGATATGCTGAGACAGCAGTCTGTCAATCTTTCCACAAGGGACTGTAATAGACATTCTGAGTGTTTTTCGCTGGCACAGGAGCGGAGCAACGATGGGGCAACTCGTTTACTATGAAGCTGAAACTAAGACTACCATACTACCAGACGAACACCGTAGCACCGGTGAGGATCCTGAAATTCTTTTGGTAGATTTTAAACTCCAAATTTTGCCCGGGCAGCGCCTTTAGGCTACTCTTTTTTGATTTTTTACATGCACAACAATACACACGGGCGTGCGGTCTTACTACCCAAAGACTAAGGAAAATTACTAACAGTCTACGAAAAAAAATCCTAGCCTTCACCAAGGCTTGAACCCGAGACTTCCAGCACTCGAGGCGGACACGATGTCTCGAGATCACGCAGCCCCGTTTGCGTTGTAGGACCCTATGTTTTTTAGTGGAAAGGAAGGAGTGGGGGTGGGGGTAAAGGGGTCGGTTATGACCAACTATTCCTTAATAAACATGTCGTGAAAGTCTACTATTTCAGGGTTTGCTGAAATTTGATGTGTTGGACCGACAGACAGGCAGTAGTAGTTGTGGTAGTAGTGGTAGCAGTAGAAGGACGCAGCAGGATTAGTAGTAGCAGCAACATCAACAGTAGAAGCATCAGTAATAGTAGCAGCAGCAACAGGAGTAGGAGCAGCAGTAGTAGTAGAAGTATGTCTGTATATAATAATGCCATTTTTGTAAAAGGGATGTGCAGTCAATACTCAGGTTCTCGACTAAGACTAAAGTCCAGAAGTGGACGAACAACTCACAGGGCTATTCATCTAGGTTTACTCAGGGGCCAGCTTTTCGTAAAGTGAGAATTGTCACGATCGTCATAGACCAAGCATATAAATATCATTATTAGCCACGATAGGCCTCTGCAGACCATATCTGGCCCGCGAGCCGCTGGTTGAAGGGCCTTGAACTAAAACGTTCCGTCGGAGTTTACAACCTGTGAACCTCGAAGAAGAAGAAAGAATGTTCTCTCCAAAAGTACCGTGTAAAAGGGCGCGTGTTTAGACTTCCACAAGGAAATTTGAGGATGAAAAGAGAGATCACTCCAGTTTCTCAGCCTGATTATGTCTTTAGTCAGCTCTCTGGGTGCTTCCCCTTTCTCGGGGTCCGAATCGCAGCCATAACAGGTTTCAACGTTATGTATTTATTTTTCCGCTTTTTTATTGCGTTATATTTATTTATTTCCATTTGTTATTTTTCTGTTGGCTGGGTCGTCTTCACCTCTTTTTAGCGATCACCGATTGTAAACTCCATGTAAAATTCTCGGCGTTCGTCAACTTCTACACTTAAGTGTTTCTTAAGGAACTTGAATTTTGCGTGCACATCTGTTTTACAGATCTGGCTTACTTGTATGCAGTCTGATGGTTTTTCACCTCGCAGGCTGAGGTGCTCCGACTTCATAGAAGGATGCCTAGTAAGTCGCCCTTCACGACGTGCTTGTTAGAGAGGCAATGGGTTTTTTTCTCAGGGAGATTGAGATTTTGTAATCTCATGGTGTCAAACTTTCAAGTATCAGCTCGGAGGGGAAGTTTGCGACACAGGAAAGCCCTCTTTCTTGTTGGATTCGTATAATAGCCATTTGAGTTACTGGATACCAGCTTTTCAATCCGCAATCCCACAGTGGAGAAATCAAACAAAAATTATGTATCCTTGTTTTTTTTCTTTCGATTCTGGTGTTATATTTGTGTGTGTCATCAATGTGTGCGCCAGTGTGTGTGTAAGGGTGTTGTGTGTGTATGTGTGTGTGCTTGTGAGTGTCTGCGACGTTTGAATATTTTTGCACGTATGTTAGAAGGTATGCATTTTATATTTTAATTTACACAAAAACAATGAATTTTGCTAAATGAACATAATATGCTTGATACACAAAACACAACTGCCGCATGAAAGATGAATGCTAGGAAAGGCCGAATGTAAGACGGGCCTGTGTGCCCAAATTGTAGCCCCTTGGAATACAGTTCGTTCGTTCGTTCCTTTTATTCTTTCCCTGTCGTTCTCAGTTTCTTTCTTTTTTTCTTTTTTTTTTTCAAATGTCCTGCCTGTCCAGGACACAAAGGTTGTACAGTGTGCAGCTACGCGTGTCCTAATCACTACTTCTGTGAAAGTATCTTGCATTTGTCTGATTGGTTTACCCTCCAGGATATGTCCCATCGAGTCAGGGGTGTCCAATATGCAAAGAACTGGTGGATTGGGGAAGGAGGAGGGGGGAGGGGCGTTGCTTGTTTTGTGCGACGTTTTTCACGGGCGACTGTATTGCTGCTTTCACCAACAGTGTAATCAGTTTAACTTTTGTGCCCGAGCAATCTGGTGTAAGAGGAAATGAACGCACGGACTGTCTTGCTGGTAGTGGCCACATTAGGCGCAATAAATGCTTTGGACTTTGCTCTCGCAGGACGAGTTGGTAAGTCAGGAGACGAGGGCAAATCAGCAACTTTGACAAGTCCACAAGAACTTCCTCTCAAAAGAGGTTTTGCAAGATATGCAGTGAGAATGATTGGTAGAATAACAAACTAACCAACAAAGTCAAATTGAGTGTAACGCACATTTTATTTTTATTTTTTCATTTTTCCATTTATTGAAATAGCGAGAACTATTATGAAAGACTTCGTTTTGGTAATAAACAATTGTGTTTGTGTTAGTTAGGAATAAAGTGAATATTACAGTAAATTTCAAAGCGAAACGAAATAATTTTGTTTCTTGGGCAGTTTGCGAATTATTTAGTTATTCTTAACTTTGCAATCCTATCCTTCGTTATGTCACTACGTCTAATCATCATTAACTTAAAGTTAAACTGATCGGTAGTTCTCAGATGCTCCACCGTAGCAACTTGTTTAAAAAAAAAAAAACAATAACAAAAAACAAAACAAAAGAGGGCGTTCGGCGGGTGGGGGGGGGGGGGGCTTTACAAGCCAAAAAGCTTGGGAATCACTGGTAAAGATACATGAATGCTTTTATCATAAACTCTAACTTGTCTCATGTTACTGATAATTATTGGTTTCTCTAATTTTCAGACTGACCTATCCAGCCTAGAGAAAGAAAAATCACCAAAATAAAACGAATTTAATACAGAGATGAGGGAGACCCTTTGACATTGGTCAATCTATTTACAAAATTTTTTTTTTTTTAAACATGTCTTTATTACTATTGCTCAGTCCACTTCGTGAATAAAGGTTATTAGCATTGTCGGACACCCAGTCCCCGTGGATCTAAACCAACCTCACTGACGCCGCCATCTTTGAGGAACAGGCCAGCTCACAAGGAAACTCAGCCGACCAACCGAAGCAGCACATGTTTGAACAGGACACAACCTAACACCAAAAGAACCAAAACCCAACACAGCAAAGAAAACAGGACACAAATATAACCAAGCCCCTGAGGCAGGTTGAAGCTGTCCAAATTTTTTTCCTTTTTTTTTTTTTTTCATACGAATACTAATCCAGTTCAGAGATGAAAACTTTTTGCTTTTGGTTAATCCAGAACAGGGAAAAAGAATATTCAATACAATTGTTCAAACCAGTCCAGAGATAAGGAAGCCTTACTACCATAGGCAATTCCAGTTCACAGATAAAGAAGACTTTTGAACATTGGCGAAGTCATTTCAGAAATACAGAAAACCAATTCGCACTGGATATGCCAGCCCAGATCAAACAAAAACCGCTGAAAAACTTCAATTAACGATACACAAGAAAAAGAGGAGGCATTTAACTCAAATGAAAACTTTTAGTCATCTCCTGTTGATTTCTTTCTAGAGTTTTTTTCTTTTTTTGCCACAAGCAACAAAGATAAATATATTCACGACAACTGATTGGCTGTCATTGAACAGCAAAGAACAAAAAAGAAGCCGAAAAATTTAGAGAATTAAAACATAGGGGCATCTCATATTGATTCGTGAGGGCAATTATCAAAACAGGGGGCTCCGACCACCTCTTCAAAAGCTCCACAAGCATCAAGGACTGGAAACAGTCGTTCTAAAGACTTCATATAATTGTTCTGTAAAGAGTCGACAGCGCTCACCAGACAGCCAGAAGATGGCGTGTTCTCAAACTACACAAGATACTGTATTCATTGCTGCCATTGTGCTGTCAATGATGAGCCTCAGCCAGTGTGTGGAGCTGACGTACGTCATCAACGAGGAGATGCCTGCAAGGACTCGTTTAGGCAATGTCTTGGACGACGCCAACATCCGAAAGATTGTCCGCCAAGCTGAGATCTCAGATTTGAGATGTACACTCCTGACGGAGGGAAACCCGCAGTCTTCTTTCTTGTGGATCAACTCAACCAGTGGAGAACTGAGGACATCCATCAGGTAAAACACAAGTACTCATTTATCTAGGGTGACCATAATATGTTGAGCTGAAAACGGGGTATCAAACGGCAAACCCCTTTTTTTAGGCCACCGGGGTAGATGGGTTAATTACTCGCCCAGGAATGGCTTCAAAACGCGAACCATTGCAGCCAAGAACAAACCTACAAGAAATTGTAACTGACCCGGTGAAAAGTGGACATGTGGTCACCCTACATTTATGCAGTCTTTAACTCACTCTGTACCACTGGTGCGGTTCTGGGGATTAGCTGTTAGTGACGTATTTCGCTGTGCACCGTGTACCATAGTTCCATTTCCTAGCCGGATGGTCTAGAAAATAGTATTCTAGCTGCTTTTATAAAGAGTAGGAGAGTCGCACTGTGTAAGGTTTTGGGGTCATATAAAAAAACGTGAAATCGGTTCACTGCAAACAACTTTTAATGTGAAGATGGCACATAGTGCCCCCTCACTCCTCCCTCCTTTTTTCTCACAGAAACTCACATTACGTTCACTGGTTATTCTGTAGAAGGCACTCACTTATTTTCGTTTTCTGACCCATTGTTCGGTTATGTTAATTTTTTTTTTAACCTCTTTCAGGTGACGCCGCAATTGAATATATATCAAGACCCATGCTCCCCCTCCCCCATTTTAAACACAAATTGTTAAATAGAAGAGGACAAAACGAAATATCCCAAATACTATTTACAAGAACTTGGAGACAAAAAATCCGCATAAATCCCAGAAACCATCGCCAACAACTGGTAATTCAGTGTCCAAATATTAGTCTGATGACTGAGACTGTTGCATCTAGATGTTACCTGCTATTTGTGCTCTGACATTAGGTAAAGCAGGGCTGAGATCACTCTCCACACCAAGCTATCAGCTATGTTTTGTTGTGTGATTGTTTAAGCTCATGATCCGGATTCACCAAAGTGTGTGGAGGAAAACTCAGAAGAAAAAGTTAAACCTATTTTGTCATGTGATGATACACAAAATATCCAAGTTTAACAATGGGATATCGTGTTTAGCCTTCAACTTAATTGCTTCTTCTTAAATAGTTTATGGCAGTAAATCTGTTTCAATAATGAAAGCATTTCTGGGTAACTTCCTAGACCCCTCATCAAATGATAGATCAGGAAAATAAAGATTACAACTCCTCTGCCAGAAAATGAAATGTGATTGAATTTTAACTGCAGGCTCATTATTTTCACACTTCTTGTTTCGAACAGTTCGTTACGATGAGCAATTATTAGAAGTTTCTGGTTTCAATTCTTCGGTTTCATTAATCAATCAATTCATAGAATACGTTGGACCACAAAGAAGAAACCACTGACATTCTATATGATCTGATCATTTAGGAGAATTGCCTTATAAACAGCATCCTGTCCCGAAATCTAAAGTATTCTGGCACTGTTGAGTTTCTGGGAAATTTAGAGAGAGCGGTGAAGGATGCAGGTTCTAGAAAACACAACAGAGGCCGACGTCAATGAAGATGAACAAAAGACACTGAAAATGCACTGGTTATGAAAGCACAAAGTGCTGGAGAATTAGCTAGAGAAATAGACTTTCACGTGTACCGTGAAGAAGGTGATGCTCTGTAAAGGACCTGCTAATTTATTATTATTATTATTATTATTATTGATATTATTATTAGCTGACCACATTGATTGCTTTTGTTTTCCTTTCACAGAATAGACAGGGAAGAGATTTGTCCCAGGCTGACGGTTTGTGAGCTAAGAGTCAAGACTGTAGTTCAAGCACTCTTAAGCGCTTTCTTTCAAATAGTTTACATTAAACTGACTGTCAATGACATCAATGATAACGCCCCAAACTTTGACCATTCAACCTTTACAGTCAAGATTACTGAAAGCGAACCACTGGGAGCTTTCTTCCGCATCCCAACGGCTTCAGATCTTGACACCGGGAAGGGAAACACCCCATTGAAGTACACTCTATTAGACCGAACAACGCCTTTCTCGTTGGTCGTTGACGAGGTCGGTTCAAAGCCTAATGGTATCAGAATTCGGCTCGATTCGATCTTGGACCGAGAAACTGTCCACTCTTATCAGCTGCATGTCCTGGCAGTCGATGGCGGAGATCCTCCGCTGACCGGCACACTAACGGTCAATATTGTAGTACTGGACATTAACGACAACGCTCCGATATTCCAGGGGGAGCCGTACAACGTCAGCGTTTCGGATAATGTGACGGTGGATTCATCAGTTCTGGTGGTTAAAGCTGGAGATCCTGATGACGGGGATAACGGTCTTGTGACCTTTGTCTTAGCCACGGCCCAGAAAGACGTCAAGGTCATGGAGATGTTTTACATCAATAGATCAACAGGGGAAGTAAAGGTGAAAGCTCCGCTGGACACATATGCCGGACACAGTTACAGGTATTGAATATGGTGTGTGTATGTGAGAGAAAGGGAAAGAACGAACGAACGAACTTTTTTTTTCAAAGGGTCACTAATTGGGCCCGCAGGCCCGTCTTACTTTCGACCCTTCAAAACACCCGTCTTTCACACTGCAGCTGTATTTTATCAATAAGCATGTTATATTCATATGATAATATGCATATTATGAATAACACAAAAAAAGAGAGAAAAAAAGCACAAAAGAAAGCGAGAGAGAGAGAGAGAGAGAGAGAGAGAGAGAGAGAGGAAGGGGGGCGAATATGTTTTTGTGTGTGTATGCATGTGTATGTGTGTATGTCTGTAACTGTGCACAGAGGCCCGGGAATGTTGGGGCTCAGGCCTACTGAGGCCCCCAATAGTTTTTGGGGGCATATGACAACCCCCACATCCACCTTATGTATGAATGTTCCTATTTTAAGCATTTGTATATACATTATGTATTATTTCAAATATATACTAATTATTCGCTATTTAGCACACCATTTTAGTTTTTTTTTTTTTTTTTTGCACAGTAAAAAAGTTAAGTCTATTGAGAAACCTACTAATTTTCTAGGAGCTGTGGAGCTAAAATGGCTTCAATTTTGTTTAACTGAACTGTATTAATAATAATGTTTTTTTGTCATCATTACTATTTTTCTGCTGCCAGCTTTTCGCAGGGCCACCCCCTCCCCCGGGCAACGGCATTGACAGGCCGGCTAAACCAGATGAGGGTAACCGAATGGTCTAATAGCCTTAGGATTTGGTGTTGCAAGCAAATATTGGACTTGGCTAAATGTGCGGAGAAAGCCAATACTGGGTTCAGTCACAGCTAAGCTCCAGATATAAGGCCGTAGAGCTCAAATGGGAATTCCCGTTTTTGTGAGGCTGGCGTGGCCGGTCGGTGGTAACAATGTTACAGAGTAGATTTAAACACAAATTGAACTACAGTATAATTCATGTGCAACATGTAATTAATTAAATTAATTAATGTTTTGAAAATAAATAAATTGGCTATTAAAAAAATATGTATCTTCAAAATGAAGTATTTCCGGTGCTACTGTATGCCTGTGAAACTTGGACTGTTACAGACGTCAGGGAAAAAAAACACACGTCCATACAACCTGTCTGAGAAAGATACTGAGCATTAAGTGGCGGTCATGGTCCAGGACACAGTCGTGCTGGACAGTGCTGACACATTCCCAGCATCAAAACCATTCTACTGCAGTCACAGATTCGATGGGCTGGCTATGGTGTTCGAATGCCTAACCATCGGCTCCCAAAAATAATCTTCTTTGGTGAGATACTTGAAGGTCGACGTTCTCACAGGGGCCAGATAAAACACTTCAAGGACACACTAACGGCATCACTGAAAACCTTCAGTATAAACCCTGACACCTGGGAGGCTTCAGCACAAGACCGGACTTTATTTATGGTGCGCATATACCTAAGAAAGTGCAACGATCTGCGAGGAATCTAGAACAAGGGCAGCTGAACAGCGAAGTCAGGTAAGAAAGAACCGTCAAACAGGCCCTTCATCTACAGACACTGTGGTCTGCCTCCATTGTCCTAGACTCTTCCGGTCAAGTGCTGGACTTATAAGTCACCTCTGGACTCTCAAACATTCAACTGCAGTTTCATGACGGATGAAAGAAAGAGTGGTCCTCATCACTTGTGGTGGACAGACAAACGAACGAACGATTGCTATTATTGCACAGTTAAGCAAAGCTTAAGTCATGCTGAAGAAATATGATAAAACTGAATGTGTGGAAGACCTGGGGCAAGTGGAATGACGGTATCAATAATAATTTTTAAGTAAAGATGACTAATATACACAGCATATTAGAAACCTTATTTATGCTCTAACTGCATAGACAGGTTTAATAGTAAAACACTCAAATATACCTGGCTTCGGTCGTATAACATGCTCATACACTTCGTTGGCAATTTCCTCTCAAAGACTGACCATCCAAGCTGTTGACCGTGGAAGCCCTTCCAAGACAACCATGACACAAGTGGTCATTTCTGTGCTGGACACACACAACAGCCGGCCAGCCATCCTGCTCAACATTCTCGGAACTGCGGGTGTCGGTCAGTTGTGTTTTTTCCGTTGTATTACTCCTTTACTTTTGTTTTGTCCACTCCGGCTGCTACTTAAAAGTTTCATCTATCTATCTATCTATCTATCTATCTATCTATCTATCTATCTATCTATCTATCTATCTATCTATCTATCTATCTATCTATCTATCTATCTATCTATCTATCTATCTATCTATCTATCTATCTATCTATCTATCTATCTATCTATCTATCTATCTATCTATCTATCTATCTATCTATCTATCTATCTATCTATCTATCTATCTATCTATCTATCTATCTATCTATCTATCTATCTATCTATCTATCTATCTATCTATCTATCTATCTATCTATCTATCTATCTATCTATCTATCTATCTATCTATCTATCTATCTATCTACCTATCTACCTATCTATCTATCTATCTATCTATCTATCTATCTATCTATCTATCTATCTATCTATCTATCTATCTATCTATCTATCTATCTATCTATCTATCTATCTATCTATCTATCTATCTATCTATCTATCTATCTATCTATCTATCTATCTATCTATCTATCTATCTATCTATCTATCTATCTATCTATCTATCTATCTATCTATCTGTCTATCTGTCTATCTGTCTATCTGTCTATCTGTCTGTCTGTCTGTCTGTCTGTCTGTCTGTCTGTCTGTCTGTCTGTCTGTCTGTCTGTCTGTCTGTCTGTCTGTCTGTCTGTCTGTCTGTCTGTCTGTCTGTCTGTCTGTCTGTCTGTCTGTCTGTCTGTCTGTCTGTCTGTCTGTCTGTCTGTCTGTCTGTCTGTCTGTCTGTCTGTCTGTCTGTCTGTCTGTCTGTCTGTCTGTCTGTCTGTCTGTCTTTCCATCGGTGGATCGGTCAGTTGTATACAAATCAGTTTGGTTCTCCAGCTGCACCGGGCATGTCACTGTCTAGTTCTAGAGATTCTGAAGATTGTGATTTTGTATTTCAGAAAACTAAATCTTTTTCGTTCTTCCTTAAAATTTTTTGCAACTATCTAGCAACACACTTGACGAGATACAATGAAATATGCTTGGTAATCAATTGTGCAAGATACAAACGATCCAGTACACTTATGTACCAACTGACACTATTAAGACAACGAAAAACATAAGTATGGCCGTCTGTATTCAAGAGAATGAGATCTGTAAAACTGATGCACACCCAACAGTCAGGTTGTGGAGCAGGACTGCAGTTCAGTAGTGGACGTGCAACCAGAACTTTCCGCCAGAGTGTACAGCTGGTGAACGCGAAGAAGAAGAAGAAGATAAGTATGACCACCAGGAAATATATTGATTTTTTTAACAACATTTGTCTACCAAAACTGCGCTGCCAGTGCCAAACGTTGGACAATATCTAAGGCTAACCTAGATAAAGTTAACACCTGTGACATGAGACGCCTGAGCAAAGCTGTCTACGTAAGCATCCGAGACATAGTGAGATACGATACAATCAGAAAACTGTTCAAACAACACCATTCATTAAATACATTCAGAAACGGAAGATAAAGTAGTTTGGTCATCTCGTTGCATTGCTGCCACAACAACTACAAACACAGACGCTGTAATTAAAAGATTTGATATGAAAACAAGTCGTCGATTTCAGAGAACGTCGATTGATAACATTAAAGAGCCTCTACATCGACACAAAATGAAATAACCCAGAATCGCAAACTGTTTCTTCCGACGGCGATTACTGACAGAAGGGGAAATTTATGACGATCTCGATGTATTCGTACCAACTATGTGCTATCAGTGCCAAACATGGGCATTTCTAGAAAACACAGACGCAGGATTGTAACATATGAGAATTGCTGCGGCAAAACCAAAAGCGACATATTGGCCAATGAAGAACTAAGAACAATGGTAGGCACAGTACAGGTATATGAACAGCAAAGAATCAAATGGTTTGGTCAACTGGTCAAAATGGAACAAAATCAGCCAGCCGCTAAAGCGAACTACATGAGAACAGCAGGTTACAAGTCAAGAGGCTGACCAAGAAAGAGTTGGGTGGACGGAGTAAAATAGATACTACAGTACGACATTAGCACAAGCAACGCCGCTCGCCAAAGACAGGAAACTACATTTAATTCCTCTCTGCGACGCTTTTATGGCAGGGACAGTCAACCAAGTTTACTCAAGGGCCCAAATGTTGAAAACATAGGGGTCGTTCGGGCCCGAGTCGCAGCATAGAAAGAGCGCTAATACACAATAATGGGCAGGTAATCAGCGGACCACTTGCTAGATCTGGTCCACAGTCTAGGGCGCTGCGTGGTCTCAAGGCATGGTGCCCGCCTCGAGTGCTGGAGATTTCGGGTTCAATCCCCGGTAAAGGCTGGGATTTTTTCACGTGGACTTGAACATCTAGTAATTTCCCCTGGTCTCTGGGTAGTGAGATCAGACACCCGTGTGCACTGTTTGCGAACGTAAAAATTCCCTTGGTAGTTGGAAAATTTGAAGTTAAAAATCTATCCAAAGTATTTCAGCATCCTCGCCGGTGGTACAGAGCCAGTGCACTGTGCTGAGCTTCTTCGGACTCAGACTGGAGTTAGAAAAAGAACGGAGCACTTATGGTTCTAACTACCCGTGTGCCATGATGTTGGTCCGTTGTTCAAACATCAGCCTTCAGTCCGCTTGTTGAAAAGCCCAGTTGTACGCTATAGATGGCAACACACACGCAAAAGAGATGACGATGAATCATTTGTGCAACTTATTGTTTGTATCTGCATCATTTAAAATCTTGACGTTCTTTACACCTTCATTAGCACAAGTATCGGAGCTGGCCGAAATCGGTCGAGCAGTGGCGCACCTGGCGGTGAGTGACCCCGACTCTGTCCAAAGCTCTAACGGTCAGACGTCCTGCTATCTGAACAGCACTGACCAGTTCCAGCTGCAGGCCATGGATGACCAGCAGTTCAAGGTCATCCTGACCAAACGGCTTGACCGAGAACAGCAGTCACATCATAGGCGAGTACCTGGTTGACTGAATGATTTGATCGATCGATTGATTGTATCGTTGATTTTAAGATGTTTGTTCCGCTTATTCATTAACTGGTTGACATGTAACTGATTTACTCGTTGATTTACAGTTACCCGCGTGATTTACTTATTTATTCATTGATAGCGTATCGATCGCCTGATTCAAGTTTTAAACAATTAATGAGATGACTGATTGTTCGTTGACCGATTTGTAGATTACATATTGCTTGCTTAATTAGTTGTTTAATCGTAGACTGGCTGAAATATTTATTATATGATAAACTGTTTGACTGACTCGTTGCTTGATTGGTTCAAATGTTCACCGTACATTGATCCACTGATTTTTGTTCAGTCGGCTGACTGACTGATTAATACACGGACATTTTTATCGTCATGAAAAACGCACAACATGATTTATGCTGTTCGTGGTCTTAAGTTGTAACAGATGCATGATCAGCTGGCAAGACACTTGATGATAACGATGATGACGACAACGACGGTAACGATAATAATGACGTCGACGGTGACGTTAATGATGATGGTGAACCATTGCTAAATTACATGCCTCTTTCTAATCCTACAGTGTAACTATCATTTGTGAAGACTCGGGATCGCCGCCTCTGAACGTCTCCTCCAGTTTTGCTGTGGAAGTTGGCGATGAGAACGACCACGCCCCTGTTTTCAGTTCGGCTTTTTACGCCGTAGAGGTCATAGAAGGAAAGGTCAACAATAACAGTGATAAAAGGTCAGTTGAAATGTCAAAGTTCGTGAGAACCAATAGCATTCCATGATCCTTCGAAGTCGGAGTGCATCTGCCTGAGAGGCAAGGAACCAACAGTCTGCACATAAATGAGATCTGTCAAACGGATGCACACGCAACACTCAGGTTCTGAAACAGTACTGCAGTCCAGAAGTGGACGAACAACCATAACTTTCCGCCGGAGTTTACAGCCCGTGAACGTGAAGAAGAAAAAGAATCCCTTTCCCACTGTTGAATTTAATTAGGTAACTTCGCAACTGCAGCCATGTGACTGGTGACCGCACCACTTGGTGGTGAATTGATGTATGACAAGTTAGATATTTTGAGGGCCCTTTGGGTACGAGTAAACAGTGCGGAGGAGCAGATAGATCATTGCTGCCTGATGAGAATGGCGCAATGAGGAGTTATCAGGGGATCTGGCCGACGCCAACACTTAGGGGAAGGATGATGCGGTTATACAATCAGACGGTTACTGGTACCAACAGAATTGGAACTCTTCGCTTGCTGCTGAAGATGAGGACTGAGCACCTATGGGAGTGTCCCGAGTGCTGTGATATCGATTCTTAATTCAACATTCTACGCAGCGATATCTCTCTGCGATAACATCCATTAAGTAATAGAACAGACAGACTTAATGTATTGAAAGACTAATTAAATAATGGCCTTATCAATGTCATGCGCATCACTTACAGCGCATACGAGTACAACAAAGTGCATGACTCTGTATCTCCGTCTAGACTGATGGCGATGAAACCTGGAGCTGTGGGAAATTAACATTTCACCAAAGGGATAAAACATTTGATTATTCAAAGCAGAACAGGCGTCATCAGTCGTCCTGCGCTTGTGGAGCTTCTGAGGAGGAGACTGGAGCACCTATAGCCTGACAGGAGTGCTGTGAAGATAATCCTCACAAATATTCTTCTCAACATCCATGCCGTGCGGTGTTGGTATCTGTCGGGAACCTTCTGTCTTGCGTACTTTCGATCAACTCTGACACAGATGATCCTCAATGATATGATTTCAAACTGTCCAGCATCTTTTGTCTCGACCTTCCTCTGTCTCTCCTCCCCTTCAACTGTCCTACTGTCATGATGTAATCCAGTTTTTTTTTTCTTTCTCACTAATCACTAATCAATAATTCAATCGAAAAGGGGGTGGGGGCGAGGTTCTGGAAGATATTCAAAACTAATGGCGAAAAAAGGGGGGGGGGGGGGCAGGTAGATTCTTTAAAATCAAGTTGTACCAGGTGCGACTAGCATGTCGTCTCTTCGTTGACTACTGAGGAAGGAGACAGAGCACGCGTGGGAATGTCCCAAGTGTACTGATATAAGTTATGATTAATTGATTCACGGGTATCGTGGTATGGCTGTTGGGAAAAGGAGGAGACGTACAAAAGCCGTCTGTGTGCTTGCTTGTTTGTCTGATGACCCCCAAAAAATAGACCAAATTCAACCTTGCTGAGAAGAGTTGAGGTTACAATTGTGGTCTATTTTGATTCGCGTCAAGTTCAATGGCATAAATGGTGTATCGTGCCAATGCTGACTGTTTGTTCTTTCTAGTGCCTTCTATAGGTTGCTCGTTCTGTCTCTAAGCGTGTTCTTGATGCCGTCATGATGCCGTCGCTTTACTAACAGGCTCTGGAACCGAAAGGGTTCAGACATCATGAGGCTCCTCCACTCAAATTTTAGAGAGGCTATCCCCCCCCCCCCAACACCCCCTCCCCCCACCCCCGTCTTCCTTCAATATAAAGTCTGCAAGTGCGTTGAGCTGTTCTCCCTAATCAAGTTTTTTGGAAATATAATATTTTAAATATATTATACTTTTGTTTTGTCAACATATATTTTTTCTTTTGTTTTGTTGACTGGTTGTAAACTCCGGCGGAAAGACCAGTTTGTTCGTCCATTAGGTCTTTGGTTTTTGTGTCAGGGCCTGAGCAATGTGTGTGCATCCCTTTTACTGGTTATTTGCGTGCATTTGGTTTCTGCTTGCCGCTCAGGAAGGAGGAAGCTCTCAAAAAATCTCGCCCCCCCCCCCCCACGTGTGGGTTCCGGGCCCCATTGTATGGAAAACAAGAATAGACCCACTGCCTCCCAAAAAGCATGTCGTAAGAGTCGACTAATTGGGGAGCTTCCTTTGAAGTCGGAGTGCATCTGCCGGAGAGGCAAGGAACCAACAGTCGGTATTCAAGAAAAAAAGATCTGTAAAACTGATGCACACGCAACACTCAGGTTCTGGAGCAGGACTCCAGTTCGGTAGTGGACGAGCAAGCAGAACTTTCCGCCAGAGTGTACAGCTGGTGAACGCGAAGAAGAAGAAGAAGAAAAAGTCGACTCCTACGACATGCTTAGATTCAGCGAGCATTTTTTTCTTTACCCCACAACTGGGCCTCGAGCCCACACAGGGAGTCTGCATATACCACTATTAATAATTATTGTTACAAATATTATTACCCCCCCCCCCCCCCCTCCCAACTTTTCCCAGCCAACAAGCATGTTGTAAAAGCGAGTAAGTTGGGGTGCTTCCTTAGAAATCGGAGTGCCTCTAACTGACAGGAAAACAACCAACAGTTAGCACACCAATAAGCTAGATCTGTGTATTGAATATACATGCAAAACTCAAGTTCTAGAATCAGACTGAAGTCTAGAAGTGGACGAACAACCAGTTTACAGCTGGTGAACGCGAAGAAGTCGAACATAAACAACTTCAATGTTAAGTTCTTCCACTGATATTTTGTCTTATATCTGCAGCCAAGCCATATTGACTGTTAAAGCCACAGATGCGGACATAGGTCCGAACGCCCACATCACATACCGCTTGGCAGAGAACACCGACCCTGATTTCGGGATCTACGCAGACGGATCCATTGTTGTGACAAGCCCCGCTGGGCTAGACCGGGAACACAGAATCAGAGGCGGGGTCAGAAACGTTGTGGTTCTAGCTGTAGACGGCGGGAGCCCGCCAATGACCGGCACTGTACAAGTGGTCATCACGATTAAAGATATCAACGATAATCCGCCCAGATTCTCCGGGCCTGCCTTTTTCTTCACCGTCCGAGAGGACAGTCCAGCTGACCACACTGTAGGTAGCATCACAGCCACTGACGCCGATTTAGAATCAAGTGGCCACGTCCTTTTCAAGATCTACCACAGAAATACAAACGCTATTCCTTTCCGACTGTCAACGGAAGGCGAAATAAAAACAATTTCCGGACTGGATAGAGAAAACAAATCCAGTTATGAATTCCTTGTTATTGCTTACGACATGGGGAAGCCAGTTGCCTTATCTTCAACTGTTGTAGTACGAATCAAAATTTTAGACGTGAACGACAATTCTCCAACATTTCTGTTTCCTAGCCAGAATAACAGCACAGTGCATGTTCCTTGGACACTCAGCCAGCGCCTTATTTTCGCCACACTTCTGGCCACTGATTTGGATGAAGGAGAAAATGGCGAACTAATGTACTCATTAGAAAATATCAACAGCTCTCAGAAGTTCGAAGTTGAGCCCAGTTCGGGGCATGTTTTTCTAGCACAGCCACTCACAGAAAGGGATATTGGTGTCAACATTATCACTGCTGTTGCCCAGAACCCTTCCTCAGACGTTCAGCTCTCGAAGTCAACCCTTTATGTCATAGTCTATGAAGGCAACAGCACCGTCTCTCACAAACCCAGTGCATTCGGTGTCAGAAATACGGTTGTTGTAATTGTTCTGTTGGTGGTTACAGTTGTCGTTGCTGTGGGGATACTTTTGACTATTCTTCTCCTTCGCTTGGTGGACAAAGACAAGCAAAAGAGGTTTTACAGCGCAAAAGAGGAAGGGGACAAAACCGAATCAAAGCTAAAACATGTTAATCTATACTTCGCTGGTAATGGGGATACATTCACGTCTGCTGATGATGCGACAACTGGCAGCAACGATGGAGGAAGGAAGAGAAAGGAAGTCAGTTTCTCTCTGGAGGAAGACAGTAATTCTAGCAGCAGTTATAGAATGACCAGCTCAAAACTATCTGACATTCGCGATTTTTCTTCAGACAGAGTTCAGCAGACAGTAACGGTAAGTTTTGCATTTATAAATATCCTAATAGTTTTAATTTGCCTCTCTGTACACATGTCTACATATATATATATATATATATAGTGTGTGTGTGTGTGTGTGTGTGTGTGTGTGTGCGTGCGTGCGTGTGTGTGTCCCGAAGAGAGGGGGGGGGGAGAATATATTTGCAGCGTATTTTTGACTCCCAAGTCGACACAGATGTTAATCTATCTATCTATCTATCTATCTATCTATCTATCTATCTATCTATCTATCTATCTATCTATCTATCTATCTATCTATCTATCTATCTATCTATCTATCTATCTATCTATCTATCTATCTATCTATCTATCTATCTATCTATCTATCTATCTATCTATCTATCTATCTATCTATCTATCTATCTATCTATCTATCTATCTATCTATCTATCTATCTATCTATCTATCTATCTATCTATCTATCTATCTATCTATCTATCTATCTATCTATCTATCTATCTATCTATCTATCTATCTATCTATCTATCTATCTATCTATCTATCTATCTATCTATCCACCCATCCACCCATCCACCCATCCATCCATCCATCCATCCATCCATCCATCCATCCATCCATCCATCCATCCATCCATCCATCCATCCATCCATCCATCCATCCATCCATCCATCCATCCATCCATCCATCCATCTATTCATCTATCCATCTATCTATCTATCTATCTATCTATCTATCTATCTATCTATCTATCTATCTATCTATCTATCTATCTATCTATCTATCTATCTATCTATCTATCTATCTATCTATCTATCTATCTATCTATCTATCTATCTATCTATCTATCTATCTATCTATCTATCTATCTATCTATCTATCTATCTATCTATCTATCTATCTATCTATCTATCTATCTATCTATCTATCTATCTATCTATCTATCTATCTATCTATCTATCTATCTATCTATCTATCTATCTATCTATCTATCTATCTATCTATCTATCTATCTATCTATCTATCTATCTATCTATCTATCTATCTATCTATCTATCTATCTATCTATCTATCTATCTATCTATCTATCTATCTATCTATCTATCTATCTATCTATCTATCTATCTATCTATCTATCTATCTATCTATCTATCTATCTATCTATCTATCTATCTATCTATCTATTGTCTTCTTCACTTTCACAGGGTTGCAGCCCAGTGTCGTGGTTTAAAATATTTGTTTTGTGCCTCTCGCGTGATTTGAGTGACAGTTTTCTGGATCTTCTACAGATGTTAAGTACAAATAAATGCTATACAAAATATAGACCGTCGACTTATATTGACCACGACAGCCACCGAGTGCCGATTCGTTTACACAAATGTGCATCTAACGTTGTACACACGAACAGCTGGTGTGAAAGAAACAGATCCTTTTCTGTACTTTTATAACATTTTAAACAAAATTTAATAAGTACCCCATCAATGTTATTTTCGGGTCTGTATTTGTGTCTGTCTAAGTGTATATGTCTGTCTATATGTGTTTGTCTGTTTAAGTGTTGTGTCCATCTCGTGATATTAAAATATAGCCTATATTTTACGCACAGAACAAATATGACTAGAAAATAAGAATGAGAATATTTTGGAAGACATAAACAAAAACGAAAGTGCTTATAGAACAATACAAAGAATAATACTGGGATATACATGACGACTTAAAGTCTGAGGATAGTGCACACAAAGCACGAAATTCGGTAACTCCAACATCAACTCCCAAGGATTTCTGAAAAGAACTATGCACTAGCATCAGACCTGTACTAACAGCATTATCGGCCCCTGAGAAACCCAATTTTCTGAGGCCCTTATGATAACAGTCAGAGAAAGGAAATTCTTATTTATGACCAGTCACCTGACATAGATTAGCATAGGGTGCCTATGCTCGTGGGATCCCCGGGTAGGTCCCCAGCAGGTCCATACGTTAAGACGACACTCATCAGCGGACCGAAGGACAGAGTCCGAAACCAAACCTACAACTTTAGAGCGTGAGGCAAACGCCTTTGCTACCTCGCCTGTGAGACCCGACTGTCTGTCGTTCAATATTGCGGATAATTAGAGCCATGAAGTTTTGTTTTCTGGGACGGTTTGTTGGCGGCCCTTCCTCATTTCTGAACTGGAAAGAGAAAACTACTGAACAGTGCGCTTGATGAAACACTGTGAGCGGTGGATTTCACGTTGAGTGTTTCTCCCCTCTAGTCCCAGAGACAGTTTGGTAGTGGTAAAAAGCGTTTTTTTAAAAAGGGGAGGGGGGGAGGGGGGGGGGTAGCGTTGGCACATTCGGCAGCTGCCTTATGCATTTTAAATTCCCAATGTGGGGATTTTCGGATTGTGTTTGGACCACATTTTTTTTTCTTTCTATAAATGAGTATTCAAATGGAAAAATGAAGTGAATGGTATGCGATATCCAGGGGTTCCGCAACAAAGCATTATATGAAGACTCGTTTGCCGTGAAGCTGTCATGTCTACTACTTACTAATATGTGTGTGTCATAAACATGTGTACGGTCCAATTGCATCGATGTTCAGAATGTCTAATAGTCATTTTCTTCGCCTGTAATCAGGTAATTGCGGTTCCAGCGTCATAAAAAACGGGCCAGCCAATGGTTGCTCCGTTCGCGAGCCAAAGAAAACCACACAGAATGCCCATCACTGTCGGTTGTAACAAACTGACACATTTTCTCTCTCACAGACTAGTGGTGTTGTTGTTTATCAAGTCGAGGCAGGAAGTGACGCAAGTGCTGACTCTAGTACGTGCGACAGTGGCAAAGGTGGAAGTGACGTTGAAGTGCAGAATCAGTTATGTCAAACAAAACTTTATGGTGAGTTTCTGCTGCCTGATTTTTTTAAATACATCACTTATTATTATTATTATTATTATTATTATTATTATTATTATTATTATTATTATTATTATTATTATTATTATTATTATTATTATTATTATTATTATTATTATTATTATTATTATTATTATTATTTTAGCACATAAAAAGCCACCATGCTCGCTGCATGCAGTAGTGAAATGCCAGGACTCGCCATTTAGCTAGTTAGCGTTCCAGTGGAAACCAAGCTGTGTGAATCACTATTTATGTTTACACACGGGCGTCTAGTTTTACTAGCCAGAGACGAGGGGCAATTACTCCAAGTCCAACTGAAAAAATCCCAGCCTTCACCAGGGCTGGAACTCGGGACCCTCAGCACTCAATGCGGACACCATACCTCCAGACCACTCAGCCTCCCATATGAATCACTGCAGATCATGAATCAACCAAAACCTTCATAGTGACATGTGGCCTTTTAATTCAAAAAATACTAGCAGAGAGAGCCAAATTATTATTTTTTTTTTATTATTTATTATTTGGACATTTGTAAAGTGAAATGGTGAGTACGTTGTTTTTTAAAGTTGTGTTTCAAAGTTAACTTAAATAAAATCATTTAATGTTTAAACAGTAAGATCAAGGCCGATATTTTTTCATTCTCATCTGGAACCCACACACTTACCCCCCCCCCCCCCTTAAACAAAAAAAAACAAAAAAACCTAGCAACAACAACACAATGAGTTGACGGTGGATGTTTAGAAAAAATGTACCCGACTCTCCAGGTCAAAGCAGCCCAAAATATTTCTAAATATGGAAACTGGCATTTTATTCGTTTTTGTTAACTCAACATTGACACTCTTTGATCGTCTGGCGCGATAGTGTCGTTTCTAAGAACAGGTATACTAGTGGTGCATATGTTATCTGTTATGTAGGTCAGTTTGAACACCGAAAATCTCACTGAATGTGTCTACTTTTTAGGTGACGCAACTCTACAGAGAAAATGTATGCCGGATCATCGTTCAAATCTCAACTTTGTCATCAGTGGTCAGAGTAGCGCGAAGGGCAAGCATTTGAGGAACTGTTTCGCGCCTGAAAATCTACAGAACGGTACTTCTCTTACTGGATCTAACATATTTAGAGGCACGCCCTCTTCATTCTGGCCACGCCCATCATATTCTCCTGACTCGTCACAGTTTGCTGGTCACAATAACAATAAAAATATAAGTGTAGCTGGATACAAACAAATTGTAGCAGACAACAGACCCCAACAACATTTGACGCTTGACCGAAGTAATAACAATAATCATTCTTGTTTAGAGCCAATGAGAAGTCACAAAAGATTAGTGGGAGCTATCTCGTTGGCGAATCAGAATAATCAGTTCTCAAGCTCATCCAATCGCAACAATTATTACACAGACCCTCCCGAAGCCACGCCTTCTGTTCCACACAGGTTAAGTTCTATATCGTGCACAGAAGAAGAGGCCAGCATGTGGGACTGCGATACAACCACATCCGGAAGTTACATAGTAGACCCCTGTGAACTAAATAGTGAAATAGACTCGTATTTTTTCAGGAACATGCAGGATATAGTGGTATAAAGTGCTGATGAATCTTTCTAGTCGCAACGTTGATTTTTTTCATTCGTGAAACATGTTTTAATGTGAACCTGACTTGTTCTGCTTCTCGTTTGGGATGAGTTTTATTTTTCACTGATGTCATTTGTCTATCCTCTTGTGGGTTGATGGGCACTGTTGTCGGGGAAAGCAAGAATAAACCCACTGACTGGCCTGAAAGCATGTTGTAGGAGTCGACTAGCTGGGGCTTCCTTAGAAGTCGGAGTACATCTGCATGAGAGGCATGGAACTTATTCATGGCTTTTTTCATCCGAATGGTAGCACTTTGAGTCATCGGGTGTTGGTCGCTAGTTCTGCAGTTCTGGCGGGGTTAAACGTCTCTCGCTCACTTTAGGGCCCACCAATCTACACTTGATTTCCCTGGATGAGATCTTCAGGGGCAACGCTTGTAGATAAAGGGAAAACCAGGACACAAAACACATAAGGTGACGTCATCTCCACGAAAGCTACCGGAAAGGCTAACCCGGTGAAAAGCCTCAAGATAAAGTCGGATGTGTCGCCGGAAAGGCACATATATCAAAAGTATGCTGTTAATAGGCACGGCGCAGTTTGCTCATTCAGACGAAGAGCAGAACTGGCCAGGCAAAGGCAGCATTTCAGAAGATGAAAAGTATCTGATGTAATAAATCACTATCATTAAACATCAGAAAACGAGTAGAGAAATGTAACATCCCGCCTGTTCAGTTGTATGGCAGTAAATCTTGGGATGTGAGCAACATAACCAAGAAGACTTTAAAGGCAGCTGAGATGTGGTTCTTGAGAAGCATGTTGTGAATACCTTGGACTGCCAGAAAAACTAACAATGATTGCATGGACATTGTTAAATAAAGTAAAACGTTTTATAAAACAATGTGCAAAATAAGTGCTTGGGGCTTCTTAGCAAAAGTTAATGGTAGAAGGTTGGGTGCAGGAGAGCCAAGCATATGATACCACAACATCCAGCTAAAGAATGGAGGTGGGGGCGGTCACTGCAGCTTTCCGATGTCTAGAGAACACGAGACACACGCACATATAGTGATTATAACTGATTCAGAAAGCATGCTGAGGAAGATCAGAACAGGTATGCTTCGTGTAAAGTGGCATGCTTCGCTGCGGAGGACACGAGTGAGGAGTATTGTCTGGATTTTTTCACCGGGGCACTCTGGCGTGTTGGGAAATGAACAGGCGGACATATCGCAGGATCTGCACAACTTGGTGGAATACTGATACGTGATAAGGCAGACGTGGTTAGTGCCTTGTGGGAGAGCGTGTACAGTTCGGAGGAGCAGATGGATCACCACAGTCTGGTGAGATTGATGCAGTGACGAGAGGTTCTGGCAGATGCTCGAGGCTCAGAGGAAAGGCAAGACTGACGTTTAATCAGAATGCTACTGGCACCATTAGTATCAGAACTCTTCGCTGGCTGCTGAAGATGGGGACGGAGAGCTTATGGGAATGCCCCGAGTGCTGTGATGTCGGTTCTTGAATCAAATAAATCATACAACAATGTGAAGAAGACAAACAAAATTCTTTCGTCATGTGATGAGAAAAGAGCAGTGGAAAATATCGTGACGACCGGATAGGTCACTGGTAGAAGAGACAGGCCAGAAGAAACTATAGATGGCTTAAGACAGGGGCATGGAGGAATATCATCAGTGGAATTAATCCAAACATCAAAGACCGAGATCTGTGGAGATGTGTGAGCGCCTACGCCAGCTGGCAAAGCACTTGATGAGATGAGACGAAGGATGAGGTCAAAACGAAAAACATAAAACATAAAGCAATGTTTGTTTTTCATGAACTGCATTGAAATAATAGCATGCACGGTGACCTACTTATGCACACCAGTCAACATTACACATATCTCACAGGACAGTTGTGTGTCTCCATAAAGCTGATTTTCACTCGACGTTTGTGTAACCTAATGCTGAAACAGGAAATCGTAACATGATTACGCATACACCGCTGTCCTGTTATCAGTGTCTCCAGCAGACCGCTTTGCGTTGATTTCGAAAATTTATCGAGCATTGAATGTCAGAGAGCAATGGCAAACTAATGAGCCTAAAATCACGTTATAAAACAATAAATTGAAAATAAATAAACATAAAAACAATAACACAAAACATGCAGGGGTCATTTTTTGATTAGCTGGGATATAAAATTCTTGATGACATATTTAAATTGAATTATTTATCTCTTGTGTCCGTTAATCTACGAGACAAGTTATTTTTAGTGGAATATTTATTGTATGCATTTTTTTCACAAGCTTCCAGTGGGGGTCTGGTTGGTCCCGTTTTGTGGGTAAAAGAAAAAACCCACTGCCTTTTTTACAAGCATGTCGTACAAGGCGACTAATCAGGGGAGCTTCCTTCAAAGTCGGTTGCATCTGCATGAGAGGCAAGGAACCAACAGTCTGCATACAAACAGAACAAATCTATAAAATGCCTTCATGAATGAATGATCGAACGATTCAATGAATCAAAAAGTAAATGATTGAAACAAAGAACTGGCATAACTGCGCTCGGGAAATTCCCACACGTGCTCCGTCTCCTTCTTCAGTTGCCAACGAAGAAATGACATGATAAAAATACCAATTGCGACCTGATTGTCAATCAAGAATTGACTTTACAGGCTTAGAGTATCAGCTGCATCCTGGCCAGTTTGCGCTTTGCTCTAACTGTACAGACAATAGACTAGAATGAAAGAATACAAGTATGCTCTATGTGATGTATGTGTTTTTAAAGGTTGATAACGTTGTTGAACAGAGTCATGTTACAATTGTACTCACACGCCTTCACTTACCAAAACTCAGAAACACACCTGCAAACAAAATAAATACAAATAATTATCAGAATCTCAAGAACTGTGTGTTATATTACGTATATGTCTGTGATTGTGTGTATGTGATCAATGTGTTCTTCTGTATATGTATGTGTATATGTGTGCGTGTGTGCGCGCTCTTGCGTCTGTACTTCCGAAACACGTATATATCTGCCTCGTGCGTGTCTGCGCTATGTCTGCATTTTGCATGTACATTTGAAGATATGCATCTGCATTCATGCTTTTATATTTTTACTTTACATTCATTTTATGAATTTTGATATGAACACAATATGCTGGATATTCAAAATATAAGTGCTTGACAAGGCAATATGTATTACGGGGCTGCGTGCCCAATTTCTAATCCTTTCGTTATAAAGTTCGTTCGAACAATGGAAGTTAAATCTGTTTCTCCTTGTATGGGTTCCGTGGCCCGATTTTGAATACACCCATTGCCCCCTAGCAAACATGTCGTAAAAGGCGACTGTTTATGAGGTTTTCTTCAAATTCGCATTGCATCTGCCTGAGAGGAAAAGAACCAATAGTCGTCATATAATAAGACAGATTTGTAAAACTGGAATAACACTCAAGGCCAGACGTGGACGAACAACCAAAACTTTCTGCCAAAGTTTAAAAACCGATGATCTTAAGAAGAATAAATATCGTTCAGTTTCGAAATACTACTATAATGCAACCATTTACTCCTCTTTCTCTCCCTCTTTTTTTCCTCCTGAACTTCTTCTTTTTCTTCTTCTTTTCCCCCGTCACCTTCGCTCCTTATTTTTTCCTCTCCAGTTACCAGGTGTTGTGCTGGGATAAACGATCGTCTGTTTGCTCTTTTCTAATTTATTGTATAACTTGGTTTTAATTTCTCTACGATTTGTCTAGATGCTGTCGTTCCATTTTTGCTTGGTCTTGGTTTTACTTTACTTGTTATAACTGAGGAACAAAGGAACCCACGAATGAACAAACTTTATTTCTTAAGGGCCACGGATTCATCATGCAGACCCGTTCCCCATACGGAACTTTAAAACACTCCTTTTTTTTTTTTTTACATGGCAATTGTATTTTATGTTTCAATCAGACTGTGTTCATGTATAACTGTTTATATTATGAATGACAGTAAAAATAGAAAACCATGGCAAACGCACGCCTTCGAATATATATGCAAAACTACGCAGACAACGAGACACACAGGAACACACACACACACACACACACACACACACACACAATAACAGATGGGGCAGTTAAGCACACATATATACACGAACACACCTACACATGCAAAGGTGCAAACACTGACAAGACACACATATCAACACATCATACACAGGCATACACACTCATAGACAAAACAGAAAAACACAGACAAAGCACGCACACACAGACACAAACACACATACAGATACAAAACGCACACAGGCACACACAAACATACTCATAGACATACTCATATACACACAGGTATGCGGACATAACACGCAGACACAACTTACACAGTCAGAATACACACAAGTGCATACACAACAATACACATAAATCTAAAACACAGTTTCGATATTCAAACACAACAAACACATGCAAATCATACACAGACACACAACAGTAGGAGATGGGAGTACGGGGGTGTTCTGATAATTGCCCATACTACTCACTTCCGCTACATAAACTTATACAGTTTTGAGCGAAACTAATCCTAAATCTGTAACAGTAATTGAGAACGCAATAAACCAAATGTCTTTTGTCAAAATAGGAATCTTTAAAAGTTAATGCGAATGGAAGTATTACAATAAAATTGTTTAAACATTTTAAAGTTAGAATTACTGATAGTTACAAACAACAGCAATGAATGCCCTAAAAAATGCGCAATCTCGAACTAATCAGTCTCGCAACTGTTAAGTTTTGCGGTTTCTTTTAAAACTGTCACATAACATTAAATTATTGTAACATGTATGTATGAGAAACATGACAGTTTGTCACCACCATGCCAAGAAACTTTATGGCGGCTTCCATAAAGAAGGCCTTAAGAATCCAATGGCATGTTAGGACCTATGTTTCTGTCGACTCGTACAAGGTTGGCCTATTCGGCATTCACGCGATTCTGTTGCACTCCAAAATCAGCTAGGCAGGCCATGTAGTCTTTATGTCCACTTCTTCATTTT